GAATAGGGATCAGCTGGCTGTTCATTTATCTGTTCATGTAGACCTGATGTATGGTCCCCAAGAGTATATGGACTAGCTATACTCGACAATGGCTGATGCACATGAATTTATCTGCCTGACAACTCAGGGAGTTATTATGACAACAGAAGAAGTACATGATTGGACAGTGAAAGAATGGATGTTCCAACATGGCAAGTGAACATAGTTGTGACCAGTACCAGATATATGGAAGAAATTTGGATCCTGCTGTATTGGTCTGTACCTGTTACTCTGACAAGTTGATCCTCTAACGTATGAATTACAACAGATGCAAAGCATGCAAAAGTGCATGGAACACGTTAATAAGCTGCATCCATATTTCACAGACAAGCTCTTGGTGCACCAGCTTGACCAAGCATCTGTAGAAGACTGATGAGTTGGAGGAGGCCAACGATACCGTCTTGAGTCATATTGACCTCTCCAATGAGGAAGAGGAAGCTGCAGATATCTATATGGCAGTCTTTGAATTAAATGAGTCACTGGAATTAGATTCATCTAGCAGCTCTGACATGTGGATGGAATGTCGATCTTGCGATTGATATGAATGGAACTTGTTATCTGAGCTAGCATAGCCAGGCTGTTAGAAGACTACTGACCAAAAGAGTACAATAGCCCATTGCTGTCTGAGCTCAGAGAAGTAACGTGAAATACCATGTATGCACTAGACTGTAGTGTTACTACTTAATTATGAAAATTGGACAATCATTAAGTCAGGAGCTTGCTGATTGGAAAGAAGTACTGTTCCTTGATTTCTGAGCTATTAGTTAGTACGGTCCAGCAGAAAGTATGGACTACATTTTGTATCAGCTACTTGATTATTGCCTGTTAGGACATTTATCAATCTATGTAATCATGGACTGACAGAGTGGTGATCCTTGCTTTCCTACCTATCAAGTAATACTGTGTTGTGATTTATGTACTACATTGTAGAATTATCACTTGGTTATTAATAGGTGAGATGATCATGTTATTGCAAAATCAGTGATCAAAAGAGCATAGTGACCATTTGCTTTCCGAGGCATAGAGTGAATTTTCTGATACGAAACATCATTTATTGTTTGGAGAAAATCACTCGGACAATCTGGCTGAATGATGAGAACTCTGCAGAGCATATCACCCATTTCACTGATGTTTCACTGATCTTTATTGGAAAAACAAACCCGGGGCTACAATTAACGAGGGAGTCCAGATTTTTCTGATTATATTTTGTAGTCGGTAGTAACATCACATATTTTTATTTGGAAAAATGGACTTTTAGCTCAAACTCTTGATTCATCTAAATTTTACCAGTGATTATTTATTTCATTAAGTCCGAAATAAAAATAAGTTAAGCTTGATGGCACCCAGATACCACAATTTTCGGCGAGTAATTTGGATGTTACTTAAGCTGTTCATGCGGTAGCTGTAGGCAAGCTGTATTAAGTACTAGAGTACTTGATGAAGTATAGTGATGGTATATCTATGGGAATGTATGTAAGCAACAAACATACGTGTGCGTCAGCACGTGCATGTTGAGAATATTACATGGAGTCCTTCGTAAATGTTATAAATAAATTAAAATCAGTGAACCAACCACATACAGAGAATGGTAATAAATAATGAGAAAACAAGCTAAAAGAGAGCTTGGACAAAGGATTTTGTGATCTCATTGCTAAGGATTAATTAATATGAGGTTAACTGTTATAAATATAGCTTGATGATTAGGTTACTTGACTCGCAATCTTTGGGTTGCGGGTTTGAATCCCTGTCACCAAACATGCATTTCCTTTCAGCCGGGGCATTATAAGATGACAATCAATCACAATATTTGTTGGTAAACGAATAATCCAAGAGTTGACAGCAGATGATGTTGATTAGCTGCATTCCCTCTAGTCTATCACTGCTAAATTTAGGATGGATAGCGCAGGTAGCCTTCGTATAGCTTTGTGCGAAATTCTAAACCAACCAAACTGTTATAAATAGTATTAAAAGTATTAATGGAAAATACGGTACACCTTTAATTTTCTTTAATGCTAAAAGAGTGTTTTAATTTCGACATTGAGACATTTTGCTGGATTTCATTGAAAATGTGGCTAGGAAGGAAAACATAGCCAGCTTGAATAGATCTGGCTTGGGCAAAACAAGTCAATGGCAGACATAGTATAATTGGAATGTTGTTCTTATATGCTCTTCTAATTCTTGAAAATCCCTAAGAGATTAAATAAAGGATGTAGTGTTTAAAAATGTATATATATATAATAGCTGTAATACGAACGTCTTCTGGTAAGTATAATTACAATTATGCTTTGCCAGCTTGTAAAAGGCATTACATAACAATTGTTCTTGTATCTCAATCGGCCTGCATAGATCTGGATTGAGTGAAACACATCTTCAGCTATAGATATGGCGAACATAGTCTGGCTGGAATACTACTGTTATACACTCTTCTAATTGTATATTTATGTGTGTCTGGTGGTTCTAGAAAGATGGTTTAACTTGTTGTTTCTCAAAGAGTAATGCAGAAAATATTTCGACTTGATCAATAAAATACCCACGAGTGAGTGAAATCATCAGTAGTAAATGAAATTCACAAGTAAAGATTTGGATATAATAACATTTATACACATGGTGTGTCCAGTGATTTATTGGATCGTGATAGGAATATATTACGTCACACAAATTGAAATATTTTACAAAAGTGATCAGTTTTACTAAATATTTTTCCAATGCTCTTCCATTATTAAATACAATTTTGAAGCATGAAAATGCTGGCTGTAAGTGTAATAGTGAGAAGCAGCAGGTACCACCCCCACTGTAAAATCTTGTAATTTGTGCCAGAACTGTTATATAATTTGTAAATGGAAGAAAGTATTTAAGGAAAGACTGATAGTGTTAGCAAAGGCTAATGGTCAAATGTGAAGTAAATGGCATCTGACCTGAGTTAGCTTAACTGTGTTGGACCCAAGCAGTCTCGATCTTCATTCCTTTCTTCTGGATTCAGGTGCTTGTCTACGTGACAACCACATCATAGGCTAGGGATAAAGCTGAGCCAGAGAGATATGGCGTGCGTGTTCTAGTTGCATGGCAAAGAGCAGTACATCTACAGGGAAACTAGGGAATCTAGAAGTCCTCAAGTTCTTTAGGAACATCTTTAGTGGGCAATGGTGGACGTGAAAATATGTTAAGTCTGTAGACATGTTGTTTGATTAATACCTAGTTCACAGTTGTAACTGAGCATTATAAACTCTCTTAACCTATATACTCAGCTGGAGCTTTGATTAATTAGAACTTAGTCAATCTCTGTATACGAATCCAGACTTTCAGTATTTAAGGTCAACTTACAGCCACAATCAGTCTAGTTTTCAACATTGAACTCTGATCTGAACAGTGTTTCCATATTCCTGAATACCAGTTCTTGTTCCTTTTGTGCTTTTCCTTCTCTGACTGTGAATATGGATCTCTTGTCCCCTTTTAAAAGCCTGCAGCTACTCCAGAATGCCAAGGATTTTTTTTTTACAGTGAGGTACATGAGATTGTCGGTGAGACAGAGAGTGTAGGATTAATGCTCACCGTTAGTGAGTGCATGGATGAAAATGCATCACTTGCTGATGCATCCAACTTGGGAATGCATGCTAAGTTGGTGAGTGGGATTGGCACTGATGTCTCCAAGAGCTTAACTGCCCACAATGACTGATGAAGGCCCTGATTCTGCTAGGAGGTCCCCAACATTGAATTGTCAGTCAACACCATTGCATCTGGAAGGAACTGAGCCTCCAAGCAGTCCAGTGTCACGAGTTCGTACCATTACTGTCCATAGAGGTGAAGATTAAAGAAAAGAAAGATCTGGTGATTTGTTCCATTGCGAGGTGTGGTAGGGCTAGAACGAGATTATTACAGATATGTTTGCATCTTAAACAGAGCAATTACAACTCAAAGCTGAAAAACAGGTCTCCAGCACTAGACACATTCTCACAAGACATTGGAATTCCAAGAAGACAAATATGGGGCACGCCCCTACAAGACTTCAAAGTTGGCAACAAGGACCAAATTTATGTTAGGATGATTCTGTATGACTTAGTTGCTGTGGCTAGTGGTGAACTACTAATCAAGAGACCATGGGAATCATCCCAGAAGAAGCCGAAGGTGGAACTACATTAAAGGCGATGAATAAACAGTTTTGATATTAAATGGTCTGTTCTAGTTTTAGAAGAGCTCTTAAGGATCTTTCATTACTGACTATATCCACTGTCGTAAACTACATATAATAGTGCAGAATTTCTCAGAATGGCAAAATTTAAACACGGTTGTAGTGCAACCACCACATTATTAGTAGTCTATCATAGCATTGTTTTGTCCGTGGATCGTCGGCTGTGATAGGGAAGTCACGCGCAAGCTCGAAATTTTTTTGCGCCAAATAAATAACGGCGACGAAAGAAAAAAGAAAGCATACTGCTGTATTTGTGTATTAAAATGTAAGTGTTCCTAAAGTACCATACTTAAGTGGTATTAAGCATTGATAAATCTTAAATTGTATATAGCTTTACTTGTTTATTGAAAATCAGAGAAGTTGTAGACTGATAGTTTTGTTTGTAATTTCCTATTTCAAAATATTGCTTTTGATGTCATGACTTTTAATGAACATTGCTTTTTCGAGGATTAGCTTTTATAAAAGTGGTGGTGGTAAGTTTTAAATGTAATTATTATAATTTAAATTTTTAAATGTTATATAATACATTTTCCTTTATGTACATGCTTATAAGCATGGATAGAATGCTTTGTATAAACTCTAATGCTTTCTTCATTAATTGATTATATAATAAAAAAATGTCTGCATTAAGAAAACACCCACGGAGAGGAAACTCGTGGCTGGCGAAAATAATTTTTTTTTAGATGAAGCGAAGGCTCTTTCAGTCCATTAATTTATGTGATTAAAAAAGTGTTGGTATTTTTCATTGAAATACTGGTGTTCTTTCATGTTGCAGACATTCCGGACCGAACAGGAATGCCCCTGATTATGGGCTTTACATCTAGGTCAGTGAACCTGTCTTGGGCACCCAGTGTAGACAATCACTTCAGCCCTATCATCCACTACATCATTCATGTCAGGTACGTGAATATTTTCTTCATCTTTTTTTTTCAGATTCGTCATAGTATAATATCCAATAATTATCAAAAAGCATTCTGTATCAGATATAATTGTGTTTCTACCGTACGTAAGCTTATGGTAATTTTACTTTACAATATTTATCTAACAGGACAGTTAAAGCGGGCATCGAAATCAACACCTCTTCACTATACAGATACAGTGAGGAAGAAAAAACATTATAATGGTATCATTATAGATTACGTCTGATTTTTAGAGTGGAAACATTATTTGACTTAACAAATAATGATTACAGTCTTAAGAAAAGTACGTTACATTGCTGGTGGAACTTCGAGTAACACGCTGAAATAACTACTCACCAGGTGAAGGGAAAAGCGATCAAAATAAGGAATGTTTTTAGTTTTCTAAATTAAATGAATATAGAATAACAAAAACTCGAAGGTATTGAATGTTATATTCATTATTAAACTTTTATTTAAAAAAACAGAGAGCATGTAAAGGCGATTGGTTAACAGTAGCTTTAAAATCTGAACACCTGTACAGTAATTTGAATCCTGATACACAAATATGACAGTTATAAAATTCGAATAGAAAACCAGAGCAACAGTTATGCAAGTTAAAATCAGAACGTACATTCCAAATCTGAGTTATGCAATTCTTTTAAAATCCGAACCTCTAAATTCAAAACAGGACGTTGTTAAAGGCGTATATACATAACCTGAACCACAGTTGGTAAAACAAACATATTAGATCCTGCAGCTTCTATTATTGCCTTACGTATCAGGTGACTTTGTGTCTGAATCTTGAATTACCGTAAAATATATTAAGTCCGTGTTTATTGAGATATTTAAGCTCCTTTATGATACACGATGAAAATGTGGTACAGGAAAGTTGAATAGTTTTTGTCGTAGGTTATAATAAGTAACGATTCTAAGTTCTTCTTTCTAACTATTCCATTATGCAGTGCTCTGACCTGTAGAATAGGATATTGGACATACATCCTCACTAGAATTTGAAGATTTTCCAAACCTTGCGCGCGATGAAATCGATAACCGTCATGTAGAGAGACTAGAGCATCTCCCAGCTTCCAATATTGATCGATATCAAGCGGACCGGGATAACCGATGACTAATCCCAGGGCTCCAGCGCTGTAGGCGACTATATATATTCTATGGCCAACAAGGCACTCAATTCGGTGAAGGTTTTATTTGTCGATGGAGCGCTCAGTATGTGTTCTTCCATCACATCTGACCAAGGCTATGGGTAGTGACTTCAACAAAAACGTAACTTTTCTTTCTCGAACAGACGGGATTGTATAATATGATGAATACGTGTATAACCTTTATGTTTACTATTGGCTAATACTCTTAAAATAAATTCTATATATATATATATATATATATATATATATTATTTCTGCATGCTACTTATTGGATTATATACATTTGTTACAAACACTGAGCTGGTTTCATATTTAAATTATGTTGAATGAGAAATTATTACCAGGAACCTCGGAACAAACTCAGCAGTAACGTTTTACATCTTCACTATATTCATTTTGGACATTCTACTATAAGTAAATTGAAATTTAATCAACACTTTAGATTGTGTTGTATAAAACTTTGAAATGCTATATTACTTTATTACTATATAATATTTTGCATTGGATGTCTTTAATCTTGTAGAATTATTTTTTACGTAAATGTATACATCCGATTCATTAACGCTTTAACTGACGAGAGCCAGTATAAAACTGTGAAATATTGGATTACTGTACTGACATTTTTAATTAGCGCCATGGATTATACAACACGATTCATGGCGCTAATTAAAAATGTCAGTACAGTAATCCAACATTTCACAGTTTTATACAACACGATTCATGGCGCTAATTAAAAATGTCAGTACAGTAATCCAACATTTCACAGTTTTATACAACACGACTTTATGTGCAGTAATCCAGCATTTCAGTTTTATACAACACGATTAATGGCGCTAATTAAAAATGTCAGTACAGTAATCCAACATTTCACAGTTTACTGACATCAAGACACACGGTAGTGTGTCGTGCGGCCAAAACAACCAACCTGCTGCAGGACACACTGTGCGTTATTAACATGAGTGAGAGTTTAGCGATACTCCACCTTCTGTATCTCGGACTGTGGAAATCCAAACTGTCACATATCTTAAGTAAATGTGCTCTACTTCACTACTCTACTTCACATTTCAAGGCAATTCATTAAGAAGTACCTGAGATATAACATTTTCAACTTTCATTTAGTTTCTTCTTCTTTTTCTTTTCTTTTTAGTTCTTCGCACCAAAAGTACGGAAACTTTATTTGGTAGAAAAACATACTTAACTTTTATGGATCTTTTTTTTTCAAATTTGGTACACTGGTAGATATTGTCAACCTACAATTAGGAGCTCATTTTGTGTAAATATAAGTCACATGTACAAAGTTATTCAACAAAAACCGCTCAAAAAGTCACGTGAGCTGTCTGTATAACATTTTTACTACAGCTTCACCTAATAGTAAAAGTGGACCGTTTTTGGTTTTTGTCATTCCGATTAAAGACGGTTGATTATGAGCAGCAAAACTATATGGTCAAAGCACGTGCAGATACATAAGTATTGGTTAGGCCAAGCAAACTAGATTAGCAGTTTGTAGCTCAAGTTTTCAAATGAATCACATGGGTGGACGGTTATTATTGATTATATATTGCCAACTTTTCAGCACAGATTTACTAAATTTTGTGAAATTAGCCTTATTAAAAAAGACTTTAGCGTCACGTGATATTATCTTAAGCAATTAGCATAAATAATGATGCTTGATACGGCCGTACCGATTACAAGAAATTGCTGATTTAAATTTTTCGTGGTGTTACTATAAAGGAAGCTATTTACACTGTCTTAGAGAGTAAAAACTACCACCATATATTTTAAAGGATCTGGTTGGTTGTGTAAAGTAAAAGTCTGTTCCGGATAAGCTAATGTTGGTTACTATCGAGTGTTACTTTCTTACTTGCTGTGGTTTGTTGGTGTGTATTGACAAAAAGTCATGATATCTAACCAAAAACACCTTAGGTGTGAAAAAAATCCAAAAAAACTAGTTAGCTAGGCCGCGTATTTTGTTTTACCCACCATCATGCCCCCGAGTTGAACAAAACAAAAAGAGGCCTGGCTAACTAATAAATGAATATTTGCTGTAAAATTCTTATCAATGCTATAAGTGTAGCTGCCAGTTTGGTCGCAAATTTTGATTTCATTCTTCTAAATCGCACACTCAGTCCTTTTTTGGCCGCACCTTTTTCCACACCTATGGCGTTTTTGATTAGATCTTTAGTTAGCGCTATAGATAGTGTTGTATAAAACTGAAGTGCAGTACTGAAGTCTTTAATTAGCACTATAAATAGTGTTGTATAAAACTGTGAAATGCTGGATTACTGCAGATAAAGCACTGAAGTCTTTAATTAGCGGAAATGCTGGATTACTGCAGATAAAGTACTGAAGTCTTTAATTAGCGCTATAGATAGTGTTGTATAAACTGTTAAATGCTAGATTACTGCAGATAAAGTTTTGAAGTCTTGGTTTCGAGGTTGGTATAATTCAGTGAACTGTTGAAATATTAAAATTGTTTTCAACTAAATTGCAGTGCGTTAAATCACTTGTGTTATTTCACGCTATTAATAGGCCTATACTTAAATAATTAGAATCGTGTATGAAAATCGCATATACTTTTTTGTTTCAGGAAAAATTATAAACTTTGTTTCTCTACATATAAAGCAAACGACCACGAAACAATGACAACGTAGTTTCTGCCTACTAGCTTACATCTTTATGTTAACCAATAGAGGTATGGAATACCTTTAGAACGTGTCTGTATATATCAGTAGTTATTAATCCATTTGTTTTACTGCCTATTGGTTGGATAACTTCAGGTCACTGGAGTGTGGAGACTAGCAGCAATCATGGCTGCACCTCTATGCTAGTAATCAGAGTTAGCTGTGATAGTCAGAGTATCGTTCTCCGCTTATGAAGAAATAAAAAACAAATTTTATATTTTCTTTTTCTCTCACTCAAGGACTCTAGAACTGAAACCTATCAGTCACTGAGCTTTATTTGTGTAATGTTATGTATTTAATCTTTTAGAATTATTTTCTACATAAATAAATATATACGATTCATTAATCCTTTAACAGACCAGAACCATTTTTATATTTCAGTTAGAAGATAGAATGGAAGTTTTATTTGAAACAGAAATATTTAATATAGTTATCGTGAGCTGTGTTTTTAATAACCGGTTCAGCTTAGGCCAGTTTCATTGTATTTGTTTTAGGCGAATTGTCACCATAAAGCCTCTTTCTCTGCGGACAGGAAGGACAAATTCCAGCTCTGACTTTCTGGAAAGGCTGGGTTTTAATTAAGAACGCCTATAGTTGGCGACGTTCTGGCCGTGAGAGGAGAGATGTCACAGTGTGAATAGATAATCTCTTAGAATAGCAAGCGAAATGTTAGATTGTATTGGATTTCTTTTAGGGATTCTTTTATACCCCACGCATTACGAAATAAATTAAAGTTAGTGCCTGACTTGATTTGGATAGAATTACAAAGGATCTTAAGGACAGACAGGAATGCCAACTATTGTAATAAGTTTTTATTGAGAGTAAAACCTTTATTGTTTCAGTAAATAGTCTATTAGCGTAATAAATGAATGGGACTATTGAAAGAATTATATTTTTTGTATTACTTTTCCTTGGTTTTTATTTAAATATGATGTTATATTTTTCCACAAAAGTTCTACAGATTACAAGAGGTGTCTGATTGAAGATGTGTTTAACAACGGAGAGATTCGATTTGCGTTGCAAACAAAAAATTCCAGAGGAAGCAAGCTTGGCCAGTTGGTCAAAGTCAGGCATCTGTCGTTCTTTTCTTTCTGATGCAAGAAAATATTATTAGTAAATATGTCTGATTTTCCTGTCGTCAGTGATAGCTTACTTAAAATACACGTGTTTATATCAATGCATATTGTATTCAAAACCAGTTATGAAACCTACGTTTGAAGCCAGTAAAGGAAGTGCAACCCCTGGGGTTCCAGTTTAAATCTATCACTGGAAGCTTGGCCATTTTATTCTACATTCGACTCTCAAATGAACACACGGTAATTTCGTACAGCAATGAATTGACTTGTGTCAGAAAATTAGGTGTGATCAGTGACAAGTTCACGGACTTACAACGCAAAAATTCCATGTTCGATTCCTCGTGGTAAATAGTGTGTAACTTTGTGCTGATACTAGCTAACTAAAATATGCAGGTCTTTTTCGCAACTAGTTGTTAAAAACATGCTCGTCTTCTATGTCCATTGGACAGTTATGAGAGTTATTGTTAAATCCTTGTCGTATAGCGAGGGGGAAAAATGAGATAATTCCTGGTTTTTCGACTGAAATCTAGATTCCTGGATTTAAGTCAAAAAGCATGTTTAAGCACTGTTAACTTAACATTTAAATTATTTGATTAGGGATTGAGCATGATCGTGAGAATCTACACAAATTCTTAAAGCACGATTAGAACAGTTAGCATTACGTAGTAATATCTGAAAATTAAAACAGTATAATAAACTTGCAAAATCCAGGAGTATGAAATGTATTTTCTTTTCTTCTTGTTCCCAGAGAGCCAATCTCCCGTGTTTAGGTTTCTGGTATATAAGTAACATCTTAGAACAATATCCAGGTCAATAACCTTGCCAACGAATTACCGTAAGTCTGGAAATAGGCTTCAAACAACTAATCCGTTGATGATGATGATCAAATGTCAAAAATACGTTTACCACTATATACGTGCTATAATATGAATAACAATGATTAAATGTCAAATATTGCACGAATCTCTTATGACTCATGAATATAATGTAAAATAATCAGACTGTTTATTGTGTCTTTCGATACAGATCAACAGGTCATTTACCATCATGAATCCGCATCATTAAATTAGCCAGACCCGAGTCCTAACTATTTGAAAAGGGGCTTGGTCCCTGGGACCGATCTCGTAACCATTTTGTGCTTGTTTATAGTTTTCTTGCTATAACTTTTAAATTAGGACAATCATAAATCTGGAGATACTTATTCTACTCAAATTATCTACTTTTTCCAATTCTATTCTACCTTTGCTTGGCAGTAAAAGGATGGGTAATCAATAGTAATCCTGTTTTTGTTTCTTTTTCTGTATAGGAAGCTAAAAAATAGGAGGTTGTAAACCACAACAAACTTCTCTTCCATCAGTATCTGATAATACATGAACAGCATATGATAAACTGACAGTTTGTTATTTCTGTTTATGTTATAAGATGGAAAAATTATAGTGACATTTGATCAAATACAAAACAATAGTTTTTAACTAAAAACAATTCAAATTTCACCTACTATGAAACTATATTAAAACCTATACAAAAGTTGAGTACTAACAAATATCTTCAAATGTGGCTAAAGTTTAAAGTAGCTAACTTACCAGAAAAAAGCAGAATAAAAATTACTACTAATTGATAAATGGCATTTCCTAAAATATTCTTCATCATTGTTCGAGAAATGAGAGGTTTAGTTCTACCATATGGTTTCCTCAGAAGGAGATCAGGGGTAGGAAGCTCAGTTGCCAGTGCAAGGGAAGCTAAAGTATCCATAATCAAGTTAACCCACAACATCTGCACTGCCTTTAAAGGACTGTCCTGTAACAAAGTAATAAGATACTTATTACACTATATATCAAACTTAAAAGAGTAAAATAATGTTACTTCCTAAGTCTATAAAAATAATTATGAAAAATATATAATACCCTGTACTTAAAATATGCTTGAGGAAAGGTTACCTTAGGACATGAAAAGTAGCTTCCCTTATATGTAATTGGAAAAACGCATAAACGCCCATAAAAACAACAAAACAAAATGTAAAACCGCAAGTTTTCGTGTATCTCCGCACGGACCCAACAAGCCTTCATGTCACATTTGATGAAGATCCATCAACAGGGGGCGAAGTAGTGGTAAAACCATAAAATGCAAAACTGGAAATTTTTATACATCTCCCCATGAACCCCATACTAAATTTGGTGAAGATCCATCTACAGGGGGCGGAGTAATGGTGAAAAACGCAAAAACGGCCATAAAAACCGAAAATTTGTATGTACCCCCGCATGGACCTAGTTAACCTCCATGCCAATTTTGGTGAAGATCCATCTACAACCTGCGAATTAGGCACATGGACATACAACAGATAGTACCATTATATTTATACAGATACTTCTACAAACACGATTGAAATATTGTTAGGACCATTTTACACAGTCGTTAAAACATTCACATGCTCTTTCTGAGTTTACAACAACTATAGTAGATACAGCCAAATGTATTTTGAGTACATCTTCGGTATAAAGTGTTTCTAACATCATATAAGGCTCCAAAGTAAAATTAATTTATTCCATGAGTACTTACACTGAACTGAAAACACGCACAGATAAGTAGCTAAATTTAAAACGATACGGAAAATAACTTTTTTGTCACACACACACGCACACACTGTTGTCTTTTTGTCTGTTTTCATTCTGCCCGGTGATGGCTCAAACAAATGTGGCCAAAACATAAAGTAAATATTGTGTATTACTTCCATTAATTAAATACCACAAGATATTTGTAAACCGATTAATTGATTGTGCAATTATTTTGAAATTTGTAAATATTTTAGACCCACGTACAATGTATATTTTCTTTTGCAAACAAACGAACCTTGTAAGACGTAGTGACACAACCCATTATCGTTAGCTCACGTTAACATTAACTCTATATGTATTAACTCAGTTCTTCGAAAACTGTTTACAATTACTAAAAGAGTTTTCAAGGTTTTTTCTTCCAGAAAATGAGTCAGATGGTTGAAAAATTGGAATTGCATGTCTAGCTGTTTAAATATATGTTTGTTTATTTTTATGTCAATCTTTCGTTTTTTTGTCCGGCTGTTGAGCAACGGATCGTGTTCTATATTTTCAGCTTGAGCAACGAACGGGCTGTGTTCTTTATGTCAACCTGTTGAGTAACGGACTGTGTCCTTTATATCCAGCTTTTGAATAAGACTGTATTATATACGTTCAGCGTCAGTAGACTGTTTCTTATGTACAGCTTTTGAGCAACGTTTTGTATTCTCTATGGCCACTTGTTGAAGAACGATCTGTGTTCTTTACTTCCAGCGTCGATGTACTTAACGTGTTTTTTTTTTTTAAAGGACTGAGTTCTTTATGTTCACCTGTTGAGCAACAAAATGTGTCTGAGCTGCTGTTGAGTAGCATTAACTGTGTTAATCTTTATCCCCACTAGTTGAATGTAAATTTGAAGGCTTATAACGCTCAAAATCGGGGTTCGATATCCGCGGCAGGCCCTGTATAGATAGCCCATTGAGTATTTTGTGTTTAATAACGAACAAATAAACGTCCAGCTGTTGAGAAATGACCTGTATTCGTCTTTATGTTTGGTTGTTGCTAAACTGAATGTGTTTATGTATGTGAAATAGAAATAAATGACTTTCTACAATCGAAATGTAGTCTCTCACGTGACTATTTATCTTGCAGAGAATCATTCAAGCATAAAAATTAAATAATATTTCACGTTACATGTCCAACCACCTCTTGTAGATTTTGTTCTTGAACAAAGAATTCGAAACGTTTTGGGGCAGTTTAACAAAATGCATTTCCCAACACTTCAGTATTTAAACTTTGTACATATTTATTCTAGTAATACAAATTCTATCAGTTTCGCCTTTTAACAGCATTATAGTAGTCGTTTATTATTTTCACCATTGAAACAATTTTTTATCTGTCGTTCCAGACAAAGTGAAAACTAAAAACAAGTTAAACAACTCTTCTTAATTGATATAATACAAAATGCCTCAATCGAATTTGTTGTTAAGCCTGTTACTGCTAGCCATTTAAACATTACACGTAGAAACAGATGGCCGGTTTATTCTCTATAACCAGAACAAACAGACTACACTGTGCACTGAAACAGACAGAAAGTAAGAACCGCTATTAATTAAGTGAAACTAAAAACTCGAGTGTTAAAATATGCAATAAAAATTATAACTTTCATTTTACTTTGTCGTTTCTCGGTGGTTTTTCTAACAAAAATATGACACTTGTCATTTTTAGTTTCGAATGGTTTTTTGCTTCTGAGAACTGGGGAGATAATGTGTGTGATAAAAATGTGAAATAGAAACATAAAATATTACATAATCTTGAGACATGCGCGTGATATGAAACATGCATAGCAAATCAGGCTCACGGGGACTTTTTCAGTCTTTTAGACACTTCTCTGGCAATTTTCATTATTTAATTCAACAGACATGATATATTTTACATTACTGAACTAGTGTGATATATATGAATTG